GGCAGTTAACTACAAATAATTCTTTTATTGGTAAACTATATTTAAAAAACCCAACATCGCACCCCTTTTTTAAAATCGGTTTATATACTAAATCGTTTTCATACATAACATCACGCCTTTTATCCCCGAAGGGATAGGCAGAGGTGCACATTACGGCACTTAATGCCACTGTACAATGCAACACCCACTTTTCACTTCCTATTTAATAGGGGGTGAGCCTATTGTCATATATCGGGCCCATTTTCAGACTCCGTGCTACTATTGCTGAGATTTTGTTTTAAAACCCACTAATACTTTTCTCGACCCTGGAATCGAACCCGAGACCTCTTGCCCGGCAGTCGCACTTGCAACTGATGCTGCTGGCTATCCGTTCGGGGATAATAAGGCATGATGTTAAGTTATGTAGCTTGTTTTCAATAGAGGTTTTATACCAAGTTTATTTTAATGAGGACTGATAAAAATATATATTTATGTCAATGTTATATTAATCACACTAACTGTACTTGTTTTGCAAACATTCCAAATAACAAATAAGATAAACACGATCGATGTTTAGGAATCCACTTCATGTTTTGTGTTAGGGTTGGTTGACAGATAAAAAAGGACATTCGTTTACTAGTTTAGTTTTTTTAGGAAAGTACCTACTTCAGTGGCAAGTGGCAACCCCGGACCAGGGTGCTGATTCTTGAAACCAATCTCAATGTCAAAGCAATTTTAATCCAATAAAGACTCAATAATTATTCAATGTCAAAACCATACAACCCCTACCGTAGCTGTTAAAATAGCATTCAGAGTACGGAATATAAAGCCAAACTGTCGCGGAGAACCTAACGGGTAACCGGGGCTCCGGCTCGACGTGCAGGAGAAGGAACGGGGTGGTTTTTAGTCAGTAAGAGTCTGACACTCCCTCCCGCCTCACCCAGGCGGGAGCAGTCATTTGATGATTTTCCCCCCTTAAAAAAAAAACTCAATAAAATTTAATTCATTAAATGTCCACGCAATACGGACGCAATGGGCGCTAGTGTTGCAATTCAAGAGTACGTAATTTTACAATACCAATGTCAATCGATCGGAATTGAAAATAATTATCTTACCCTGGAAACTATCCTATTATGAAGAACACGTGAAAAAGCAGAATTAAATTACAAAAGTGTTGCTATACATATTTATGAAGAAAACAGCTATATAAGTCAGTCGATGATTTTATCAATTTGAGACAGCCCTGCTATAGGCTGGTTGTATTTTAATGGATCAGCTAGAAATTGGGCCTCGTCCAACCAGTTTGGTGATTTCTAATAGTTTTATATCGTAAACTTGTTGTTCTTAAATATTTATATATAGATAGAAAAGGATTACATTATATTTTTTTAGGTATAGGTGTACGACCAAACGTATCACCTGTTGGTAAGTGATTAGTGCCGTCTATGGACAGGACAACACAAAAATGAGTCGATTCACACTGCTTTTTTAAGACCATCCAATATCATAACACATAACATAACATCACGCCTTTTATCCCCGAAGGGGTAGGCAGAGGTGCACATTTCGGCACTTAATACCACTGTACAATGTAACACCTACTTTTCACTATTTATGTTATGAGTCCCATGTAATAGGGGGTGAGCCTATTGCCATATACCGGGCACATTTCCAGGCTCTGTGCTATTACTGAGATTTTTAAAAACCCAGTAATACTTTGCCCGACCCGGGAATCGAACCCCCTAAGACCCCTTGCCCGGCAGTCGCATTTGCGACCACTCTGCTAACAAGGCAGTCAAGTCATCCAATATCTTCTCCGAAAAATGTCGTAGTGCCCCGGAGGATTAAGACGCCCGCTTCTCATACATGAGAGTGCGGATTAGGAACCTATCAACGGCAAGTACCAATGTGACTTTTTCCGAGTTATATGTACTTTCTAAAATTATTCAGACACCACTGACAAACGGTGAAGGAAAACATCGTGAGGAAACCTGGGCTCATAATATCTAATTATAGTTTGTAATCGCCAACCCGCATTGAGCAAGCGTGGTAATTAATGCTCAAACGTTCTCCGTGTGGGAAGAGGCTTTGCTCAGCAGTGGACATTGCATTTATACACTGTTGATGATTGATGGTGATTGATGATTGAATATTTTGAGGCTCAGAGGCTGACTCTCCCTCCCGCCTTACCCAAGGCGGGAGGGAGAGTCAGCCTCTTACTGACCGAACACCACCGCGTTCCTACTTCTGCTTCTTTGTTCATAGCTCCAGGTCGGCCATCAGCCCTACTCGGCCTCATCTGGGGTCTGATCGCTCTTTAACTCAGGACACTTAAATATACAGGTAATGGCCGGTATTATTAAATTTGTTAGCAAGTTTGACATTATACTAACATTTAGTTTAAATGTCATTAAAAAATTATTAAAATACTAGCCGACCCGACAGACGTTGTCCTGCATATCAACTTGAATGTACAAACAAAAATTCATTCAAATTAGTCAGTCGTTTAGGATAACTAACCTAGAAACCGACTGCAGCGCCATCTGCCGGGCTGATTTGTGAATCTAAACCATTTCCAGATTCCCTTGAACACACCCAAAAAAATTCATCAAAATCGGTCCAATCGTTTGAGAGAAGTTCAGTGACATACACACTCACAGAAGAATTATATATATATAAAGATACATTAACTCGTCGAGTACCGGTTTTGTAGACACAATTATAGAACAATAGGTTGCGGTCACCGGTGACCGCTTGGTGTTTGACAGTTTAAGGGCCTTTTGTAGCGATGCAGTGGCGATGCTGTCGCGCGTCCGCATCGATACAGTCGCAGGGTGCAGACAAAAGTAACACCCGTTAGTAGGCGATGGTCCTAAGACCTGCTATTCGAATGAATAACTTGTTGATATAACAGTCTTTTGATAATTTGGATCCTTGAAAGGGCTAGGCTAAGGTGCCCCAAATTTTAATTAAATTTAACATCTCTGCCTACTGAAGGAGGTGAGGATTAAAAGGAATGCGGTCTTAGTGTTATTTAAAATTAACATTTGAATAAACGATAACTTTGTAGGTAAGAAGCTTCTAATGTAAAGGTTAGTAGTTTCGCATTACGATTGTATTAATATGATATCGGTCATTTGCATAACATAACGTACATACATACTTTTTAAATGTTAAGCCGGTAAACGAGCTGACGGAACACCTGATGGTAAGCGATCGGTGTGGCCCTTGGACAGTCCAAGGGCCACACCGATTGCTTACCATCAGGCTTGGACACCTGGAACACCAGAGGCGTTACAAGTGCGTTATCGGCGTTCTGATTAGGAATTTGAGGATTGTAGGGATTTCAGGGATTGGGGAAAGGGGGGGGGGGTAATTGTGCCTCGCCTCACTCACACGACGAAACACAACATAACGTTGTTTCACGTCGGTCTTCTGCTCGGCCGTGGTATCACTCCGGTCGAGCCGGCCCATTCATGTCGAAGCATGGCTCTCCCACACTTAAATTCTCCCACACATATTGTCAAGCCTGCCTCCCATTGGGGCAGGACAGAGACAATAAATCAATCTTGTCATATTTTTCTATACCAAGACAGTGGCACAAAAGCACACGGCCCACCTGATGGTAAGCGGTTACCGTGGCCTATGAACGCCTGCAACACTTGGGGCATTACATGCGTCTTGCCCTATAGATTAAGAAACCTATTCATTCCACAATCGGAGGGTCCGTGGGAGAAATCTGAAACCGAACTGTTCGGTGTGGGAGAGCCATGCTTCGGCATGAATGGGCCGGCTCGATCGAAGTGATACCACGGCCGAGCAGAAGACCGACGTGAAACAATGTT